ATTTTAAAAATCCATTCATCTCTCTTGGACACTTGGGTAATGCTGCAATGAACATGGAGGTACAGATATCTCTTTGAAACAGTGATATTGTTTCCCTCAGAAATGTACCCAGAAGTGGGATTGCTGTATCATATGGTAGTTCTAGTTTTAATTTTTTTTTTGAGGAAACTCCATTCTGTTTTTCACAGTGGCTGTACCAGTTTACTTACAATCCCACCAGCAGTGAACAAGGATTTTCTTTTCTCCACATCCTTACCAGCACTTGTTATTTCTAGTCTTTTTTACAATAGCCATTCGAATGGGTGTGAGGTGGTAAGCTATTCTCATAAAGATACTAACTATCCCTCAATTAAGTTATAACAAATTGAAATAAAAAACAGGAATTTTAGGGGAATTTAACAAAACAATGCCTTTTATCTCTAAACTAGTGGCCTGGTGCATGAAATTCGTGCATGGGTGGGGGGTGTCCCTCAGCCTGGCCTGCACCTTCTCCAATCTGGGATCCCTTGGGATTGGGCCTAAACCAGCAGTCGGACATTCTTCGCACAATCCAGGACTGCTGGCTCTTAACCACTCACCTGCCTGCCTGCCTAATTGCCCCTAACCACTCTGCCTGCCAGCCTACTTGCCCTCAACTGCCCCCCCTGCTGGCCTGATCACCCCCAACTGCCCTCCCCTCCTGGCTTGATCACCACCAACCACCTCTGCCTCAGCCCTGCCATCATGGCTTTGTCTGAAAGGATGTCCAGAAGGTCTCCCAGAAAGTCTCCAGGTCTAATTAGCATATTACCCTTTTATTAGTATAGATAAACACATGTGAATAGGAAGATGGTGAAATTATGAAAAAGGGGAGTAATTAAAGAGGCCTTTTCTTTCTCAGATATTAAAACCTATTGTGAGATATTATAATTAAAATACTTTGGTACATAAAAAGAAATAAAAAATAATATATTGATGAATCATACTAGAGAATAAAAAACTAGATCCAGACCCTGGCTAGTGGAGCTTAATTGGTTGAGCACTGTTCTATGCAGTGAAAGGTCGATGGTTCAATTCCCTGACGGGGTACATGCCCAGGTTGTGGGCTCGATCCCTGGTAGGAGTGCATGCAGGAGGCAACCAATTGATTATTCTCTCTCTCTCTCCCTCCCTACCTCACTCTAAAAATCAATAAAAACATTTTTTTAAAAAGAACTAGACCCAAATATGTGTAGATATGATGAAGGTTGGCATTTTAAATCAGTGAGCTAAATATGCCTCATTTGATAATTGGCATTAGGGCAATTTGCTAACTATTTTAAAAAATAATTCCATATGATCAATAAATCTGGAAAAATACATTTAAAATAACACTGAGATGTTATTTGTTTTTTATTTCCCTCTATGTGGGCATTTATATAAATGGTACAAAAGCAATGGTGGGTAAAACTGCTGGTGCCTTACTGATAATAAAGACAACGACACACACATACACACATTCCATGCGGATCAAAAATTTATTTTAAAACACACATAAATATTGGAAGTAAAAACAGGCTTTCCTCAGCAGGACACAAAACCCAAAAAATGTAAAGAAAGAACTGATAAATTTTTGCTCAGTATTATGTAAAGGCTATAAAAGTGCAGCTTTTAGACATCCCCCATCAATCACACAAACACAGATGGACAAGTCAGAATCAAATAGCAAATGTCACACTCACTGGTGAAATATTAAGGGTGTTCCCATTTACTTCAAGAATAAGATCAGGAGACCCTCAATTGCCACTATTATCCAACATAGTTCTAGAGGTTCTGGTCAATGTGCTACATCCAGAAAGTAAAAGAGTAAAATATATAAATACTGAAAAAATTAAAAATCATCATTTGGCCCTAGCTGATTTGGCTCACTGGATAGAGCATCGGCCTGGGGATTGAAGGGTCCCAGGTTCGATTCCAGTCAAGGGCATGTACCTTGGTTGCAGGCACATCCCCAGTAGGGGGTGTGCAGGAGGCAGCTGATTGATGCTTCTCTCTCATGATGTTTCTAACTCTCTATCCCTCTCCCTTCCTCTCTGTAAAAAATCAATAAAATATATTTTAAAAAAAGAAAAAAAAATCATCATTTGCAGATGATTCTCTATGCATACCTAGTTAAACCAAAGCCATCAACTGAAAAACCATTAGAAAAATTAAGAAAGGTCACTAAAAATAAACATATCAATATTTTTCCAGAAACAAGCAATAACCTGGTAGAAAATAAACTCATAAAAGAAATGTCATCCCCCAAAACAACAAAACAATAACATACCTAGGAATAAGCTTAACAAGCAATAAGTATGACTTCCCTGAATAAACATAAAATTTATTGAAGATCGTAATGTCAACATGGATAGAAAGACTCAATTTTTAAAGATGTCAGTTCTCAAGTTAAAGTGCATATTCATTACACTTTAGTCACTAGATGTCAACCATTTTGTTCTGCAGTGTTCTTCAACTTGGAACTTGACATACTTCCACATTCTACTTTATACATTTCTGCATTGTTCACACATTTAAAAAATATGGAGTGTGGGGAGATGAGAGGGAGACACACACACACACACATACACACACACACACAGAGAGAGAGAGAGAGAGAGGGATTTGAGAGATTTCTATTGAGGGAATTTATCTTTTTTCCCCTAGTAAAGAAGTTCTGAATTATTTTTTAAGTCACAGATGCCTGTGAGAATCTGATGAGACCTACAAACCTTCTCCCCACTAAAATGAACACCAGGTACCTGCATAATTTTGATAAAATTTTCACAGAGTTGGCCAGTTGAGAATGCCTACTCTAAGTATGTTGAGGAGGAGAGTCCATTCAGTCCAGGCATACATTTAGTTGAGGGGGCACCAACTTGGGAGTGGACTGCAGGACATGATCCTACATCAAGGCTAGGTTCTTTCTGAGGACCCTGCAGTGAGGAAGCTATACGTCAGAGGCCCAGCAGGTTGAACCTCTCAGGCCAGGTGGCATGAGAAGACTCGAGTGTTGTGAATGAGGCCAGAGCAGGCAGACTTGAGTGCTTCCCCAGCAATCACTTCTCCAGGCTTTATGGAAACCCACAGCTGCAGGGAGGTGTGACCAACAATCCCTCCTATGCATCCCTGAGTTACCTCTGTGGGAATGTAAGGGAGCTAGGGAGGGAAGAAGGCAAATACATTCACTCAGGTCAGGTTGGTCATCTGAGTAAAGGTGGCATTTACCACCTTGGTCACCTGTCCATGTATACCTTTAGATTGAGCAACAGAGTCATTTGCCTAACTGCGGGGGATGAGAAGCTATGGAATATGGGAGGGGATCAGAGGACAACACCTTTATCCCTCACCTCTTGACAAGGCAGGTAGGAAGGGACCAGTTCTGCATCCCTTACACCCTCACCTGCATCCACCTTAGTAGACTTGAATCTAATCCAGGGGCAGGTGTTCAGAACAGCCATCAAATTATAAGTGGTCCACATAGCAGTCAACCAAGACTCTGGGGCATTAAATGCATGTCTTTTTAAAAAACAAACAAGACAGGATTGTGCTGCTTTTGTGTTATCAATTTGCAAGTTGATCCCAAAATAGAAAAAGTAATAAATCATTTGCATCAAATGGGCAAGATCAGAGGACTAGTCCTCTCCTTGTGGACTAATTAATAAATCATGTGAAAATTCCCGTTATAGATTTTAAAATACGTTTTGAAAGTTCCTATTTGGCTATAACCGATAGAAACAGTTTCCTTGTGTTATAAAATAAATATAATGAAATTAATGAGACCTTTTGGTCTTCCACTTAAATTATTCTCCACTCAAATGAAAATAGCATCATTTTATTTTTTCAATATAAAAGTAATGCAGTATTGATTTTTCAAAAAATGAACAGAAAAGTTTAAGGAAGTAAAACACTCCCATTACCTATATCCTTTTCTGAGATTTTTCTTCCATTTTGTATAGGGGTGCAGGAGAAATGCTGGATCCTCATGGCTGGGGGTGGGTGGTGAAGGGAGAGATGGTTGGACAGGGATAAGGGGAAAAAATTATCCCTCTAAGAGGAAGAAAAGATCCATGATCTTGGGAACAGATGCAGTCTCTCTCTGTAAATTAAAGAAAGGCAAATTGCAACCACAAGGAGAAGCTATTCCTGGTTTCTAGGATTGGCAGAGGAAAATGAGTGGCAGGACCTGATATGGTCAGGGAAGGAAAGGGGTGGGCCAGCTCCAGCCGCACTGCCTGCGGGTGGGAGTGGTAATTGGGGTCTTGAGCTCACGGATGACGTGGCCCTCACGTGAGCAGAAGCCTACGCGTTTAGACGTTTTAGACGTCCTTCTAATCTTTGTCTTCATTTGGTCGCTTGCCATCTGCCTATTCCCCATCGGGCGGGCGGGCCTGTGGCTAGGGAAGGAGGAGGAGGTAACTGACCAGATCCCTGCAGGTCTAAGTGGATGGTCGCTGCCTGGGGGATCCCTGCGGTGTGGGTTGAGGAGGGTGGATTCCACCGGAAAAGGACCAGCGTGCTTTCTAAACCCCTGCCCTTCCAAGAATCAAAATGGTCGATGTTGCGGGCTGTATTACAAGGGAGACCCCAGCGCAGTAGGGGAGAAACCTTTAACATCCAGGGCCTTGAATTGGGGAGGACAGTGTATTAGAATTCCGGACCATCTACCAATCCAGGATCTTGGGGCTGTGGGTCAATCTGACTATTTGTCTTTTCGCGTGTCTTTCAGTAGGGCGCTGTATCACTCGGAGCAAAGGAACAAAGAATCTGCCCGGAATTCCTGCATGTCAGTGTAAAGAGGGGATTGCCCCGGCGTCCACGAGAAGAGCGGGGATGGCTGAGGTCCTCCCTTATCTTGGGCTCATTAATGACTCTCCAGCTATCTCCCTGCTATTATATATGTAGAAAAAAAGGATGTGACAGCCTATCGTAAAAATTGGTGTCTTTAGGGGGGAGGGGTGGGAATGCATCAGGGAGGGGAATGGTCTTTCCGCCGGTTTTCCATACTTCCTCCCCCGCCTTCTTTCCAGTTGTTTCAAAGGGGTGTGGTTTTTGCTTTGAA